GCCCCCACCCCCTCACCTCCTTTGCACGCTCCTCTGGGCTCCTGACTCTTTCTGCAGCCTTTCTACTGCTACTCCTAGGCTCCTCCTTACTGCTGTCTTTCTGCCACACCCCTGATCTTCTGGTAGGAAAGATCTACACCTTGCCTTCTCGGACAAGGGCGAAAAATCTCGGAGGGCCCGTGTGCAAGTTGCGCACGTTAAAGATCCCTTTGTGGTCTAAAATCGTTAAGAGTAGGCTTTGGCCGCCACCCGGGCAAAATTCAAAATTTCCTACCAACTGAAAATATTAGGAGTGTCCCGCGCGCTCATATGACCCTATGCAGTCGCGAGCGCCGTAAAACACTTTACAAAAACAAACAAAATGATTTGAGCACTTACTTGTCAAACAGGGGCCACTCAAACACTATGCCCATCTTCAGTTGGGCGCTACGCATAAATGGGTTAACCCTATCCGTACGACCTGGGGTCATTTTCCACGCCTGGACTATAGTCGATGCCTCATCTGCCCTGCTGTAATTATTCGATACGTCCTTGCCTGTTTGTGTTTGGTGCAAACCTGCAAAGTCTATAATCGATATCTTCTTTTCTGTCATTATTCGATACCTTCCTAACCGTTATTAATCGATACCTCCCAGTCATTAGTACTTACCTTGTTCGATATCTTACCAGATCATTATTTGATACATCTGTCATTGCTCTTTTAAAGATTATTAAAGCTCATTATTATATTTCCTTTTGGCCTTTTATCGATACCACTTTTGTCTGTATTCGATAGCGCATTTACCTTGTAATTCTGTTGCATGAATATTTGATAACTTCTTTGCCTGATCCAAATCAATACATAATCCGGTCATTATTCGACATTTCCTTAGGTTTGTCGTTATTCGACTTCCCTTTATCCAGTCTTTATTTGTTAAACCTCGACACTAATTAATCGATACCAGCAGGGTTGGGGATTTTTTTTATTTTTAAAATAAAAATTTTAAAAATCGATTTTAAAAAATAAATTTAAATCCGATTTTTTTATTTTAAAAAAATGTCGACTCAGTTTGAGATTTTTGGTGGCTAAAAGTATGTTCTTTTAGTTCAAAATGCATTGTCTTTATTTTACCTAATGATTAATTTAAGCAACTGCAAAAGAAAGCCTTAATCTGCTATATCAGTGAATTATGGCTGCAGACAAAAAATGAAGAAAATGTCAGTCTAAAAGGAAGGGGGAGGGGTAATTATGCATAGATAAACTTGCATTTTATTACAGTGTGTGTGTGTGTGCGCGCTTGTGTTTGTGTAAAAAGAAAAAGAAAATGCTAATTTCAATTATGAAAAAAAAGTAAATTGAACAGTTTTATTTTACAGTGACACGGGGGGGGGGGAGCAGACTTTTAAGCATGATTATATTAGTCTACTGAACCTTAGATTATATCTGTTTTATAAAACTAAGGAAAGGAATTCTGAATGTTTAAATATGTAAAAACAATTAATTTTTAAAAAATGATTTAAATCACTGAGTTTTATTTTAAAATCAAGTTGATTTAAGTTTTTTAAAAATCAACTGATTTAAATCAACCCAACCTTGATTTCAATTATGAAAAAAAAAAGTAAATTGAATACTATATTATTTTACAGTGACAGGGGGGAAAGCAGACTTTTAAGCATGATTATATTAGTCTACTAAACCTTATATCTGTTTAATAAAACCAAGGAAAGGAATTCTGAATGTTGAAATATGTAAAAACTGAATAATTTTTTTTAAAGTGATTTAAATCATTGATTTATATTTTAAAAATCAAGTTGATTAAAATTTAAAAAAATCAGCTGAGCTCTGATTTCAATTATGGAAA